CTGGCGGGAGACGCGGGCGGGCAGAGCCCGGGGCAGGCTGCGCCCCGCGTATATACGGCCGCCGTCGCAACGCGCAGGAAAAGGCGTCGTTAAGGGGAGACGCCTGGTGCAATATCCCTCCTCGGCGCCTTGCCCTATTTCCGAGAGCTCCGGGGCGGCGAGAGCTCTGGGGGGAAGAGAAGAAAGCAGGAGGGAAGAGGGGAAGGGAGACAGGCAGGACGAGGGCCGGGAAGGCGGCGGGCCCGCGTGCTTGTTCCGTTTGTCCCAGTGTCTGGCTACCCCGAGTGGGGAAGTGATCCAGAAAACGCTCGTTACCTCCGTAGTACGTGTAGGGGGTAGAGCCCAGCATCTCCGACTCGTCCAGCCTGCCGCCCAGCGGGCGCATGCGCCGCGGACTCCTGAAGAAGGCATGCCGCCGGGCCCCCAGCGCGCTCAGCTGCTTCATGCGCCGCTCCTTGGAGCGCCGGTTCTGGAACCAGACCTGCGGGCGGCAGCGCGGGCGTGACAGCACCCGGGTGGGCTCCCTTGCTGCCCTCCCCCTGCCCCGGTTTGGCCCCGCTGGTCCCTCTGACGTGTGCCCGCCCCTGCCTCCCGATCCGTCTGTGAAGGCCTTGGGTGCTACGACCAGCAACGGTATAGGTGGGGAGGGGTAGGCAGGCAGGCATTTAAACTTGCTTTAGATGGATGGGCCGAGGGACAGACAGACAGACGGGATGGGTGGATGGATGGATGGATGGACATTATACAGACCAGGCAGTGGGTTCCTTAATGCCTGGCTTACGGCTGCCCTCTCCGAGACCAGCTCTCTTCACATCGGGGCATGGGGAGGATCAAACTTTTCCCGTGGGACGGGCAAGAGAAAGCAGCAGCTCTCCCCTCCGCCAGCCCCAGCTCCCCTGATCAACTGCCCGGAGACCCAGTGTCCTGTCCCTGACACGGTGGGCTGCTTTCTTTGCGGACCAGTCTTTTATTTTTACAAGACACTGTTAGTGAGGAGTCCCCAAAGAAGGACAAGGAAAAAACTTTGCCCCGGGAGACAAAACACTGCAGCTCCGCTTTTTTTGGGGGGGGGGGGGGGGGGAGGGGTGGGCAAGAAAAGAGAAAGAGAAGTTGGGAGTGAGCTCCCAGCCAAGAGTGAAGGATTTTGCAAACCCTTGGGGAGTTCATCATAATGAAATGTCCTCCCTGCTCCCTCCAAAGAGACGACTTCATAAAGGCCCATGAAAGGGGCTTTTGCAGCTGAAAGCAGTTACGGGGCTGGAACCTGCCTTGCTGTCTGTGTCTCTATACCCCCCCCCCCAGTTTTAATAGCAAGGTTTAGCAGTCTAAAGTCTCCTTATACACTGTTAAATCTATTGCTATACATAGGCAGGCAGACACAGGCAGGCAGACCAGAGAGCTAGATGAATATGTCAGCGGCAGAAAAACAGGTAGATACCTAGGGGGAAAAAGGGGGCGGGGGGGGGGGG